AGTAAAATTGTGATAATTTTATTTTTTTTGTACAATAAATATAAAAAAGGTTAATATTTTTATTTATATAATAAGAAAATTATACAGTTATAATTGTAAAAACCACCGTTTGGTGAGTTTAATAATGTGAGCAGGAATATTTGCCCTCTTTTAACTGAATTTAGGCAACCAATTATACTCAAGTCAATACTATTGGCTGAATCAGCTAATAAAATATATTTATGGCATTTAATATTAAAAAAAAAAAGAAAAACAATTAAATATATTGTATCTATATTATATTTGAACTAATCGGTTCTAACTGTTTATGAAGAAACATAACAGAACTTACAATTATAATAAAATTTGTAATTTATAGTTTCAGAAAATTTAGGAAGAGTAATAATTAATGTATAATTTGCGTTCTTTAAGTAGGAGATACACACAAGTGATTATCTATTATAAACCAAAATCCAGTTCTATCATATATACCGAGCAAAATATAAAAGACACACGGTGACAACTGTTATTGATGAACGATTTTCTGGGGCTTAATATACTTTGGTGATTAAAAGGCTTTTCAACTGAAACATGGTCCCTTAACAATATAATGAATTGAAGTAAGTCAAACGACAATTAAACAGATAAGTATCTATTTAATAAGTAAACTAGTTTATTATTAAGGATACCTGCCATAGGACTAATATTGCTTTTAGTCATCTCAGAGCTTGTCTATCCTTTTAGATTATATTCAGATTTAATTTCTCACTAAAGAAGTAAAGCTATTTATACTGACAAGTTACGTTTTTGTCTGTGATATGCTGAATAAGAAGGGGTATGTATAATAACAGGAAAGGAACAAAGGTGTCTCTCTTCTGGTGTGAGCAGGTGTTTCTACGAATGCGTATAGGGGATATCCTTGTACTTTGAGACCGATTGTACCATAGATAAATAATATAACGGTCCTATGCTCTCACAACAGTTATAAAAATTCAAACGCTTATTAACTTAAATAATAAAACCTGTAGCCAAAAACATCGAAAATGCTGCTAATGCTGTATTGCAAAAACAGCTCAGTCTAAGACAAGCTTGCGCAGACTTTAAAGTATCTAAAGCAACCTTATACAGACATCTCAAGAAACACAGAGAATCTGGACAAGAACATTTTGTATATAGTGCATCATAAGACGTTAAGTTAGTCTTTACCAAACAGCAAGAGGAAGAGCTACTAAAGTATGTTAACATTTGTGCCAAGATGCATTACGGCCTCTTAACTATCGAATTAAGAAAGTTAGTATATAATTACACACATGTAAATAATATTGAGTGTCCCTCTTCCTGGGATACAAACCAAAAAGCAGGAAAGGAGTGGTACAGGTAAAAAAAGTTTTGCATTTTTTAGGTCATAAGGATAAATAATTTTTTTGCAGGTTCTATCTGCGAAGACATCCATCTGTATCATTACGTAAACCACAAGCAACAAGTCTAGTCAGATCGACAGTATTTAATAAAACAACTATTAATTTATTGTTTGATAAACTGAAGGAACTTATGGTTCTTCTTCTTTAAGTTCCATCTTCTATCGAAGGTTGGAAATCATCATGGCTATGCGAACTCTGTTGACTGCCGCTCTAAAAAGTTCTGCACTACTGCAATCAAACCATTGCCTTAAGTTCTTAAGCCAGGATATTCTTCGTCTTCCCACATTTCGCTTTCCTCGGATTTTGCCCTGCATAATAAGTTGTAATAATGCGTATTTTTGCCCTCTCATCACATGTCCCAAGTACTCAAGTTTTCGTCTTTTAATAGTTAATATTATTTCCGCCTCATTTCCTATCCTTCTAGTTACTTTCATGTTTGACATTCTTTGAATCCATGATATTCGTAGGATTCTTCTGTAACACCAAAATTCAAAGGCGGCCAGCTTATTCAGATGAACTTGTTTGAGTGTCCAAGCTTCCAGACCATAAAGAAGAGTAGAGAACACGTAACATCGAAGCATTCTCAGGCGTAGTTCTAACCTTATATCCCGACAACAAAGAAACTTTTTAAGTTGATGTACGTGCTATTTCAATACGTGTTTTAATTTCTTTGGTTTGGTCTACATCTGATGTTATCCATGTTCCTAAATATTTATATTTATTAACATTCTCAATTGCAGTATCTTCAATAGTCAATTGGATATTTGCATGTGCAGATTTAGTCATGATCATGCATTTAGTTTTCTTTAAATTTATCTTCAGTCCGTACTCATGACAGCATTCATTAAGGCGTTGCATTAGGTTCTGTAAATCATTGTTGTTATCCGTAATTATTACTGTATCGTCTGCAAAACGTAAGTTATTCAAAACTTCTCCATTGATAGATATACCTTCTATTGAATCTGAGAGCGCTTCTTGAAATACCGCTTCACTGTAGACATTGAAAAGTAGTGGGGACAGCACGCAACCCTGGCGGACTCCTCTCTGTATTTTGATATTTTCGGTGTACTGGCTGTCAACTCTTACCTTGGCAGTTTGATTCCAATATAAATTAGATATAATTTTTAGATCACGACTGTCAATATTTTTACTTTTTAATATATCTACAAGCTTTTTATGTTGAACTTTATCAAATGCCTTTTCAAATTCTACAAAACATAACATACATATGTTATGTTTTGTAGAACTTATCGTAAGATACATATTTAGCTCGGCTAGAATTTATAATTTAAACGAAACCGGACTAACCACGGTGCATACCCCGGTTCGTGTTATTGCAACGAAAGGAGTTAAACAAGTTGGCAGCATCACATCGGCTGAAAGAGGTGTAAATGTGACTCTAATTTGTTGTATCAATGCTATTGGTAATTGTGTACCTCCTTTATTCGTATTTCCGCGTGTGTTTTTTAAGGAACACATGCTGAAAGGATCTCCAATAGGTAGTGTTGGGAGCTCGAAACCTAGTGGATGATCTAACTCTACGATTTTGTTGAGTATTTAAACCACTATAATATAAAACATACAAATTCAACTACTGACAACAAATCACTACCCATTGTTGACAATCATGAGAGCCACATTTCAGTGGAACCTTTAAATTTAGCAAACTCATCGGGAGTCTTCATGCTTACTTTTCCACCCCACACCAGCTAAGAGCTACAACCGTTAGATAGATCGGTTTTCGGGCCTCTAAAGATAAATTATAATACAGCTTGTTCTGCCTGCTAATTGCAAATCCTGCAAAAAAGATGACAATCTATGATATTGCTGAATGTGTTGGGAATGCATATCCACAGGCATTTACACAGAAAAATATCCAGTCTAATTTTACCGTTTCTGGAATTTTTTCATACAACAGAAACGTTTTCGAGGAGCACGAATTTCTCAGTTCCTATGTTACGGATAGAGCACCAGTTGCGAAGAGTCAAGAAATAATCAAAATACCTCCGAAAGTAATAGTTCCTCGAATATTTCTGTAAAGGGTTTTGGAATGCCTTCAGGAACAACTAGTATGTTTATTGATCCTAGTTTTTCCTTAGTATCCAATAAATTAAATCAACATAAAATCCCCGAACAAATTCGCCCGTTTCCCAAGGCAGCTGCGAGGAAATTTACGAAGAAAGGAGGTAAGAAACTAGGAAGCTGTAGAATAGTTACATATACCCCAGAGAAGAAAGAGATTGAAATGATGGCACTCCTTAAAACTACGAAGAATTTTATTTCAAAACAACAAAAATCAACCAAAAAGGTTCTTGATAATAGTTCTGATGAATATGTAATAAAAGAAAGTGAAATAACGTTCGACGACTCATTAGATGACGTGGATTTTGCCAATGCTGAAGAGGAAGATAAAGATTTTTTTGAGTCTGGCAACAAGCCCTGCGTGGGAGATTTTATTTTAGCACAAATTTCAACAAAAAAGACAAAACGATATTTTGTTGGTAATGCCGTTGGAGTGAATGATGATAGGTTTAAAGTTAGATACCTAAAAAGAAGTTACAGATACCCCAGAGAAGAAAGAGATAGAAATGATGGCGCTCCTTAAAACCACGAAGAATTTTGTTTCAAAAAAACAAAAAGCAACCTTAAAGGTTCTTGATTGTAGTTCTGATGATTATGTAATAAAAGAAAGTGAAATAACGTGCGACGACTTACTAGAGGACGTGGATTTTGCCAATACTGAAGAGGAAGATAAAGATTTTCTTGAGTCTGGCAACAAGCCCTGCGTGAGAGATTTTATTTTAGCACAAATTGTAACAAAAAAGACAAAACGATATTTTGTTGGTAATGTCGTTGGAGTAAATTATGATGGGTTTAAAGTTAGATACCTAAAAAGAAGTAACTTTTCCGCCAAATTTCTTTTCGATAATGACACTGTCTATGACTTGCCTGACGAAGATATGGTGATGGAACTAGGAGTCCCTTCAGTAGGGGGGGAGGGCACTGCCAGAAGAAATGCTGAGATGACATTATCTATCGATTTATCTGCATTTATCGTCCAATAAATAAGCGTTTCAAAGTACACATACTTATGTTCCAAAGTACCAACCTCGGTGTGTACTTTGAGACCTTTAGGATATGGTGAAATTTTCTGTAATTGAGAGGCCGTTTTCTCGTGTTTTATTAAAAGGCTTCAGTAGCTTCTGTCTTTTTATTTGTGTATCATTTCACAATTTCACTTGCGAAATGTTCAATTTTCAACGAAATCGTACTTATCTCATTGTCACATTTATTATCAAATAACCAGCTTTGTTCCATATAACACGCTTCTCGTTAGTACATCTAATATAATGATGAACAAGGTAGCTAAAAGTATGCAATCATGGTGAACACCTTCTGCAAGCTCAATTTTTAATTTGAAAAATCAAAAGTGCTAAAATTTGTCTAATTTTGTTTTTTGTTTTGTTTTTTATGTAAATACCTTTATATGAGTTCTATGAAATTGTGTATAGATCGTAGTATAATAGATCTAATAAATTAAAACTAAAAAGAAAAATTAAAAAATATTTAAATCAAAAAACATACTAATATCACTTATTTATTAAAAAATGTTCTTAGAATATCTAATTCTTTTTAACACTCTCTAATCTTAACATAATGCGGTCTATGGTACTGTTAACGAAGGTTTGTTTGTGGAATTTGATGGGTACTTCTGTATTGGGACTAACCGTTACTTTATAGTCACGTAACACAGATATTAATCCCAATCTTACTTGCATAATGCCGAATCTTGATCCTAAAAGGAAAACAAAATATTAAATATAAACGTAAAAATAAATCACATCAGGGTTATAACAGAACTATACTTTTTTCAACTTCAAAAATAGCTTGAGGTAAACAGTTTGAGATAGGTGATTGGTGGGTGTGTCGTGTCGTTGCAGCTTGTCATTGGTTGGCACTTAATTATTATCTAACCATTTAAGGGATAGTGATGCGCAATACATAGCCTCTCCTATTTAAATCTTATCCTCACCTGCCCGTGAGATGATCTAGTCTAGATCATGATCATCCGGTACATTCTGCTAGATAACAAACGAGGCTCTGGCGTCCGAGTGATCGCCGGTATAAGCAATCCCCCACTTACTGACCAACAGCTTCGGGTGGAAAAGTCGGTAAGTGGAAGGGAACCTTCTTGTCCTAGGAATGGAAAAACATTTCTAAAGGCGGAAGAACCAAACATGGTCAACGGCGTGGAGATGCATAAGACACCGAGAAACCAATGCATTAAAGGCTCATAGAGCATCTCTAGTTAATCATCATAACTAACAATACAACCAAACACTCTACTGATCATGAAACTCAGAAAACAAGATCCGGCAGAGGAGGAAACTCACAAGACTGCAAGACCTCCCCGGTCGTCAACATGCGAAAACCTTGCAAAGTAGCGACTTAGAAGTACCGGAAGAAAACAGGCATGTTAGAAGTCTACATCAAACTGGAAAACTACATAATGCCGTTAAAGAAATGGGAAGGTTGAATATACATATTATAGGAATCAGCAATGTCCAATGGCCCTACCCAGGAAATATAAAAATCAACGATAAAAAAATATATTATTCAGGAAGTCAAGACAGTTCACACAAATATGGTGTCAGGATAATATTAAAAAAAACATTGATGAAGCTATAATAAATTTCACTCCATACTCCAACAGAATTATATTCTTACAAATAAACCAGAACAGACTAAAAATAAACATCCTACAAGTTTATGCTCCAACTGCGGACAAACCAGAGAGCGATATTGAAACTTTCTATGAAGACTTAGACAACGGGGGAAATGGGAAACTCTAAGAAAAAGTAGAAGAATGTACAGGAGGATATGGTCTGGGCAACAGAAACGAGAGGGGTGACAGGCTTATCGAATTTTGCCAAAACAATAATTTTGTAATAGTTAATACATTGTTCAAAATGCCAACGAGAAGACTATATACCTGGAAGTCACCAGCAGATCAAGAAGAGAGAATTGTAAGAAACCAAATAGACTAGATGGCGCAAAATCGGACTAAGTGGAAAAGAATGCGAGAGGCATATGTTCATCAGTGGACGTTAAAAGCTAGTTGATGAAATAGACTATGTATTAGTTAGACAAAGATACAGGAACGCAATTATATCCTCAAAAACCTATCCAAGTACCGACATAGAATCAGATCACAACCCAATAGTGACCAAAATTAGGCTCAAAATAAGAATAATAAAACGAAGAAGAACAAATGCAAAAATCGATACAAGTAAATTAAGGAACACACTCATAAAGCCACGCCTGGCAGATGAAATCAACAACGGATTAATGAATGTTAAAGAACAAATTCTGCAAAATACTGAGACGGATAAAAAATAGTTATTAATAAAGACAGAAATAGATAAAAGTCAAACAGAAATTCTAATACCAACCAGATATAAAAAGAAACAATGGATGACAAAAGAAATTTTAGATTTAATGGAAGAAAGACGTAAATATAAAAACAAAGATATTCATATGTACAAAAAAGTGGATAAACAAATAAAATACCGAACTAAAAAAGCGAAAGAACAATAGTTAAAAGAAGAATGCGCAGAAATAGAAGAATACCAGAAAAGACATGATAGTTTTAACAGACATAACAAAATTAAAGAATTAACTCACAACAATAGAACAAGAAAACCGGGGACACTGAAAGATGCAAATAGGAAACTTGTGTTTGTCAACAAAAATTATGACTGCCATATTTTTGTTTATAATAATGACAATTTGTTTCGAAAAAAAAAAACAATAAATAAAGGAATAGCACATAATTTACCTATACAGTTTCGTGGTCCATCTCCAAAAGGATAATACCCTATATGTTTTTGATTTTTATCTTCGAATCTGTTTATATCCCATTTTTGAGGATCAGGATAATAATCTGGATTTGTTTGATATCCTATAACAGGAAGAATAACCGGAGTACCCTTTTCGATCACAATGTCGCTGTTTCTAAATTTGTAGTCTTTGACACAAACCCTGTTTAGTGCACTTAGAGGTGGATATTTTCTTACGGTTTCTAAAAATGTTACATATAATACAATTTAAAATACACAATACTGAAAAAAAGGACCGTACGATAGACGGTACTGTAGACTACCGCGTAGCTTGGTAACTATGTTTTCTATATTTTTAAAATTTAATAATAGTATATTACTTCATGAGGCGGAGAAGCATGACTTTTCTTGACGCGCCCGATATTACGCAATATAAGCGTAATAGAGGGCAAGTCAAGAAAAGTCGCTTCTTTGCCGAATAAAGTATATGTACTATTTTTTCTTCAAACGTAGCAATTTTCAACCATAAATAGTATAATTCATACGCTATTTTTACCCGAAATTAACTGTGACAACTATCAAAGTCGTCTAGATGTTAGAAATTAAAATAATTAAGTCGTCGGTGGGATTTGCGTCTCCCTGGTTACAGTTGTTTGACAGTTGTTTGCAATTATTAAAGACAGTTATTATTATTGTTGTTCGCAAGCTGCCAACATCGGGAATGATTGCTGAAAGTTGTTCTCGATCATCAGTATCATCAACAATTACCAATGCGTATCAAGAGTCGGGAACATTTTTGCACGGTTTCAATTTTGAAAATGCCTCATTAACTAATTGTACTTTTAATATTACTATAAATAAAAATTATGTTTAATTGTTGTTAATGACATTTATATTGTTGCTTTGTGACATGTTTCATATTGTTGCCATGACAACATTTTTCCCTCCGCCGTAAAGAAATGGGAAAACAAAACTGCTGCCGGCGGAGACATCACACTTTGACAGGATCAAGTTAGATAAGAAATGTCATCATTATTTGACGTTTGAAGAAAAAATAATTTTATTTTTATTTATCATTTATATTTTAAACAAATTAAATAATTCACTAAATTATTATGTTTGCTACCAATACCAATTGCTAACGTATTAACAAAGCATATGTTGTTTATTTCTGACTGATCTGTTAATAAAATATACATAAGGATCTTTAGATAGTTTTAATTTGAACCTGCTTCTCGTGACTCTTGCTTCAGCATTTTACTATGGAAAAAAAAGTAATACAACGCCAGTATAGAAGCTTCACTGAAAAAACTGAGATTGGTACACTATTTATTTTAACCATAATTTTATACATACTCACGAAGATAATACACTTGGACTTCTCCAAAAGATAACACCAACAATATAATCAGAAACCAAATAGATTTTATAACGATTAACAAAATGTTTCGTAATGGAGTAAAAAGTGCAAAAACCTATCCAAGCGCAGATGCAGATATGGACCAAAACCTATTACTAGCAAACGTCAACATTAAACTCAGAAAACCGGAGAAAAAAGTTAATAATAAACATCAAAAACCTAAAAGACGACAACTGCTAACAGCAACTAAACGTAGAGATAAATAAATTAACTGAAGGAAGCGTGGAACGGGCAGATATGAAAAAAGCCATCCTAAAAGCGGTAAACAGTTAAGCTAATAACTGAAAAAAGAAGGGTCAAGGATAAAATCAAGTATAAAATCAGAAAGGCTAAGGAGAAACGGATGAACAAGGAATGCCAGGAACTGGAAGAACTCAGCAAAAAACATGACACCTCAAACTTACATAAAAAATGAAAGAACTTACAGGCAACACCAGACACAGAAGAACACTCATAACAAGAGATACTATTAAAGGAATACTTACTGAAGAGAGAAACATTATGGAAGTATGGGAACAATATACAATCCATCTGTTCCATGACGGAAGGAAAATAAACAAGATATAGGCGAAGAAGAACAATACCTACAAATTTTACCCTCAGAAGTAAAGTATGCCCTACAGAATGCAAAACAAGGAAAAGCACCAGGTTCTAATCTAATTCCAGTTGAACTGTTAAAAGCCTTAGATGATGGTAATATAAAGAGACTCACCCGAATTCTCAACCAGATATATGTAGAGGGCATAATCCCGGAGGAATGGCTTAAATCGATATTGTTACCTCTACTAAAAAACAACAATCTCAAATCAGGTAATGACTATAGATTGATAAGCCTAATGTGCCACCCTTTAAAGATTCTCTTGAAAATTGTTTAAAATCGAATTTATAAGAAATGTGAGGAGCAGATAGATCAAACGAAGTTTGGCTTCATAGGAGGCATGGGTACAAGATAAACATTATTTGCGTTGACTTTGACGTTGTCGGTACTCTTGTAGAAATGTCAGGAATATAACAAGAGTTCATATGTATGCTTCATAGACTTAAGGAAGGCCTTCGACCGAGTGCAGCATATGAAGTTAATAGATGAATTAAAAAATATAAATTTAGACAAAAAATACATTAAGTTTATTATGGCTATATATTGAAACCAGAAAGCGGTAGTAAAGATGAACGATATAGAAACAAATAATATACCGATTGCGTGAGGAGCAGGCAAGGATGCGTATTGTCCCCGACGATTTTCAGCGTGTACTCACAGGTCATATTCAGAAAACTCTTATGGGAAAGAAAAGGGGGAATAAGAATTGGTGGAGAAATCGTAAACACCATGAGATTTGCAGATGACACGGTAATTATGACTAAGAGTATAGTCGAACTACAAACTTTACTAGATGCAACAAATAGTGAATGCATTCAAATGGGACTTGACATCAACACAGATAATACCAAATTTATGATAGTATCAAAAAGTCCAATAAATAGTGAACAACTAACCGTTGGTGAACAGCAAATAGAAGAAGTGACAAAATATAAATATCTGGGAACTTACATCAACACAGAATTAGATCCAGACCAAGAGATCAGGACACGAATAGAAATGGCAAGGGCAGCGTTCTTAAAATTCAAGCAATTGTTCTGTGAGAAAAATCTGAATACTGCCCTGAGACTGAGGTTTGTTAAATGTTACGCCTGGTCCCGAATATTGTACGAAGTAGAAACATGTACGTTAAAAGAGCAAATATTTAAGAAGATTGAAGCCTTTGAAGTTTGAATATACCGGAGAATGTTGAGAATTCCATGGACTACCAGGGTCACAAATGAGGAAGTGCTGGAAGAAGGATGGGTCGAAACAAAAAATTGTTGAGAACAATAAAAGTACGCAAGTAACTTCTGTTAATTGGGACGGCATAGAAAGAAAAAGATCAGAGACTAAAGGTAATATAATGCAACTAAGAGTGAAATAATTCTTCTGTAATGGTAACTTAATTCTCAAATGACTTCAAAGTATGATCAAATGTTATATTTGGTTTGTGATGCTATATGGAGCTAAGACTTGGACTCTAAAATAAAGCTAAGACCTGTACTCCATAGGTTGGTACTATCAATCGTCCAGAAACGTTTGAAATGTGGTTACATAGGAAAATGCTGCGAGTATCCTGGACAGCGATGCAGTGTTCGTGAATTATTTAAAAATATTAGAATAAGAAAAATATCATACCTAGATATTGTTCTTATGTAAAACCAACATAAAATCTTTCAGTTTATAAACAACGTAGAATCGAGAGTGGCAGATTAATTGAAAGGAAGCCCATTCTATGGCTCAAGAACATTCGTCATTATACAAGAACACAGAGTGCCGAGAAACTATTTAAAATCCTAAAAACCAAATAATTCAATGTTATTGCCAATATTAAAGGGACCTACCATGTAAAAAGAAGAAGGTTCTGAAACAGATTTCTTGTAGGATATCTAAATCTAAATTAAATGTTATGATTATATCGGTTTAAGCTACAATTTATTGTAATACCAATTACATTTTTAACCAAATAAACTGCGACGATTCGATGGAGAGGAGATCGAAAGGGTAAATCATTTCAAATACCTTGGCAGCTGGTTAGATGTAAATTGTGACTCTGATGAAAAGATAATAACCAGGATCGAAATATCACGTAAGGCTTTTATGACGTGGAAACCAGTTTTATGCAACAGAAACCTGTTGATAAATATTCGTAAGAAGGTCCTGAAATGTTATGTGTGGTCCATCCTATTGTATGGTTGTGAGACATGGACGTTAAAAACCACAATGCTAAACAAGTTAGAAGCATTCGAATTGTGGTGCTATAGACGAATCCTAAAGATATCGTGGGTTTCGCACACTTCCAATGAAGATGTTCTTCAAATGATCAATTAAGAACGTCTGCTCATAAACACGATAAAGAGGAGAAAACAGAATACTTCGGCCATATAATTAGAGGACCTAAATACCATCTACTTCGCCTAATAATAGAAGGAAAAGTGGAAGGAAAGAGATGGATTGGTCGAAAGAAACTTTCATGGCTGCGTAATATTAGACAATGGTGTGGTTCCACAGTAGAAGAATTATTTCGCGCAGCAGCCGACAGGGAAAGGTTTCAGGAAATTGTAAACATGATGACGGCCAACGTCTGAATACGGACACGGCACCCAAAAAGAAGATGAAGGAGTGGCTTAAAAGAAGGCTCTAAAGAGTATATCGTATCAAGATCTATGAATTACTCTAATGAAATATTAAGATGTGAAAATTACTTTATATTAAAAAATCTTTATGATATTTCGATATACAAGAAGTAAATCATTTTACAAATATTCGCTTACGTATTATTTACTTATTTGTATGTTTTCTAAGCTACCTTGTCAAGCTGAGTCCAAACTTAAGCACAAACTACAGATTGTAAGGTATAATAATTAAATAGTACTTTACCGTTAAAAGCTTTGTCCAAAAGAGGCACTTCTTTTAACATTTCATAAGATATTTGACCATTGTGCCTTTTTAAAACAGCATGAATTTCTTCTCTAACTTTGTCTTGAATATCTTGGTGTAGAGCAAGCTCCAAAAGTGTTAAAGCTGAAGACATCGATGATGTTTCAAATCCAGCTCCGAAGAACAGGAATGCCTAAATTTTTGATAATAAAATTAGTAACAATCTAGGATCTACTTGCTACTACTACTAGAAGGTGCTGTGAAAAACAGATGAAAATACCTAGAGTTTGTTTCTATAAACTGCCGACAAAATACTGGCCACCCTAAAAGGTTTTAAAAAAGGACGTTCACTTGTTGTAGATTGTATTTCTTAAAAGGCTGAATGACCGCTAACTCTTCATCTCTAAGTGGTTTTTCTGGTGGTAGTTTGTTAACTGGTGTTCTTTCTAGCGCAATCCTTGATAGCTTGTGATCCTCCATTCTTTTTACATGATTCTACCATTCTGTTCGTCTGCGCCTACCCCATTTCACTACATCTTGTACACCACATTGTTTCCTGATGATCATAGTTCATTAGTTCCAGTTTTTATAAATTATACCACAGCAGCAGACCACGGCGTAGAAGCAAACCTTCGGTACAGTGTGGATGGCGGAAGTGGCAATCCCGTGTTTTTAGGGCTGGTATAGAATCAAGCAGCGTCTGATCCAGAATGACGGCTGCAAACAGCGTCTGACTTTGGGTTAGGGACGGCTGAAACCTAAACTCGTCAGCCCGCTCGGCAAGCGTGGCGTTTTAATTGCCATTTTCTTTCAATATATTTATGCATAAATCGAGATTAAAAAATATAGTACCCCAGGTGGATAGAGTTTATAACTCAGAATTCCACTCCAATATGGATTGCCTCACGGATTATGGGGGAAGCAGAAGATCAAAAATACATAATAATAATAAACAAATTAATTCTCAAAAATTTAAAATTACACACATTAGAACCATGAAAACGAACGCCCACTTAGAGGAATTAGAGCAGGAACTAGGGGCTATTAAATGGGATATTGTAAGCTTATATGAAACAAGACTTCAAGGAGAGAAAAAGACCACCCTAAAATCTGGGCACACTCTATACCAATATAATTAAGAAGAGAACCACGGTCAAGTAGGAGTGGCTTTCATGGTCAACCGAAAAATAGAACACCAGATTGTGAAATACTCATCAGGGTCAGACAGAGTGATATATCTTGTATTAAAACTGAATAAACGTTATAGCTTACAGATAATACACTGCTATACTCCAACTTCCACTGCGGATGACGAGTCCATAGAACAACTCTACGAAGATATTTTGCGAGCTAAAGACCTAGAAAAAACACACTATGTTATTATCACCGGAGATTTTAGTACAAAAATAGGGTGGCGAATACCAGGCGACTCAGACTACATAGGAAATTTCGGTCCACGCAACAGAAACACAAGAGGAGAGACATTAGCAAATTACGTAAGCACCGAAACCATGTATGGCCCGAACACGTTCTATAAAATACAAATACAAAGTCCGAAAATTTTATGAGAAGCTGTATACTTCTATTATTCTGAACCCCGGTATATCAACAAAACATATCTTAAATGTGGACTCAGAGGATCTCTCTGAAATAATAACATCAGAAATTAGAGCCCGTGTAAAACAAATGAAAAATAAAAACACCAGGAGAAGATAAAATTACTTCAGAGATGCTAAAAATGGGAGGCACTGCATTAGAAGAGGCAATGATAGCATTATTCAATTTGAAAGGATAAATACCAAAAGCATGGAAAAATGCGTAAGTCATTCTACTCCATAAAAAAGGGGTCGTCGCAAATATAGAAAACTACCGACCAATAAGCTTATTAATTTAATTAAAAATCCTTTGTAATAGGTATATTTTAGGCCCAAACGGGCTAAGTTAAAAAGACAAAACGTTTTCGGAAACCATGTTCCATCATCAGTGTCTAGGAGTACATGAATGAAGCCACCAAGATTAAATATGTGGGTAAAAACCCGATTACATATTTTTAGTTACATTTAGTTTTAAAATAATGTTGTAATGATATAGGATTACAGAGTTACCGATGGATTTGGTAACATGGCGACATATATATGTCGCCATGTTACCAAATCCATCGGTAACTCTGTAATCCTATATCATTACATTATTTTAAAACTAAATGTAATTAAACATATGTAATCGGGTTTTTACCCACATATTTAATCTTGGTGGCTTCATTCATGTACTCCTAGACACTGATGATGGAACATGGTTTCCGAAAACGTTTTGTCTTTTTAACTTAGCCCGTTTGGGCCTAAAATATACCTATTACAAAGGATTTTTAATTAAATTTTTAATACATGGTATACAGCCAACTACAGGAACGTAGATTCCTTGTGAATAAGCGTATTGTCACACCTTTTCAAACTACTAACCCGAATAATAACAAATAGACTAACAGCTTAGCTAGATGCATACCAAACAGTGGAGCAAGCAGGCTTTCGTAAGGGTTTTAGCACTGTCGATCAGTTGCAAACAATCTCGACAGTTATTGACAAAACAATAGAGTACAACACACCACTACATCTGGCATTTATCGATTATCACAAAGCATTCGATAGTATCGAGAAATGGGCTTTATTAACAGCATTGGACGACGACAGAGTAGATTCAAGGTATGCTGCCCCCTTAAGAATATATACAATGATGCTACTTTTCACGTAAAATTAGATGATGATCTGGAAACTATGAAAATAGACCTTGGCAAAGTTTGAGACAGGGCGACACCATCTTACCCAAGTTATTTACTTTGGCATTAAAAAATATCTTCAAAAAACTAAATTGGACCGAAAAAGGATTAAAAATAAATGGAGTATATCTTAACCATTTGCGTTCCGCAGACGATATAGTACTAATAAGCACAGATATCCATGAAATAAAATCAATGCTACAAGATTTAAATCACAAATCGAATAAACTTGGATTAAAAATGAATCTCCACAAAACAAAGATATCAAGCAACAGTCTAGGAAACATCACGATAGATAACATTAATATATAATGTAATTATAAAAGAAAAGGAAAATCAAACCCTAAAAATTAAACTTAAAACAAAAAACTTATGACTCTTGTATACTACCGGTTGCAACTTATGGATTGGAAACTATGGCAATAATAAGAAAAATAGCAGAACAATTAAGAGTAACTCAACGGGTCATGGAGAGGGCCATGTTAAATATAAGCCTCAGAGACAAAATTTCTAACACCGAAATACGTCGAAGAACTAAAGTAACCGACATCGTGGGAAAATAGCGACATTGAGATGACAATGGCTAGCACATGTAGCAAGACAAGACAACAAGAGATGGTCTCATAAAGTGACATTCTGGAGATCTCAAGAAACAAAAAGAAGTGTGAGAAGACCCAAAAAGAGATGGGTAGACGATGTAACAGCTATAGCTGGAAAGCAGTGGATAAGAATTGCAAAAGATAGGGAAGCGTGGAAGCAATTAGAGGAGGCCTATGTCCAACAATGGATAAATGAAGGCTGAAGAAGAAGAAGAAGAATAAGGCAATTGTAAAGACCCTATGGAACTATATATCCAGAAATGGAGTACTTTAAACTCTCATTACCTCCTTTAGTGGTGATAAATCTTTTGTGTTTATTGTTAAACTGTTTTTTGATTATGGTCTTATCAACTGCGGCAATTACAACCCTGAGAATTTTTTATGTTCAATTCTTTAGATAAAACTAAATAAAAACCAGTATTTTCTGTTATATACCATAAAAATCATATCCTACCTGAGCACCCATCTCTTCGTCCGTCATCTTTACTCCAGCCTTTTTCATTTCTATTAACAATTCCAGAAAATCAGCCCTTTTAATGCCGTTTGCTTCTCTATGCTCCATGGCGTCCTTAAATAATTTAATAAAAAATTTTCCAATTTCGTTTTGAATTTGACTTATGTTTAATATTTTTGCTATTTTTGGATAGCAGATCGTAAGAAACAAACTAAACTGTTCCAATAATGTAAGTTTTCCAAATAAATCAGTGCCCATTCTTCGGAAAATTGAACCTTCTGGCTTAAAACTACCAGCTTCAATACCGTATACAACATCAGCTAAAAAGTTAAGACTGTATTAATAATAGTTAAATTTTACACATAAACACTATTAGTTATTAAATAAAGACTAGTAAGAATATACACAGAAGGTTAAGAAGGGGCGGAGTTGCGGCGACGATTAAACGAAGTTCAAACAAAAATAAAGGAGAAGAGAAAATTATACAAGCAGTGACAAGAAAATGGTCCAGGCTCACATCTTCAAAACTGTACGGTCGGCAAAAGAAAGCGAAAGTAGCACTAGCAAAAGCTTAATCAGAAGCGTATACAAATCTATATGATCTATTGGGTACCAAGGAAGGAGAAACAAAAATACAAAAATATGTAAAATAGCCAACAGTAGAGCAAAGAAAGCTAATGACTTTAATCAGATTAGCTGTAATAAGTATTTACAAAAAGGATATAAAGAGAAATGGCAAAAATACTTTGACAGTTTATTAAATAATAAATCATAATATATTATATATATATATATATATATATATATATATATATATATATATATATATATTATATATATATATATATATATATATACAACCCCCTCTGTGGCTCAGTGGTAAGAGCGCCTGCCTTTAAACCTAAAGGTCGTGATGAGTTCGAATCCCACCTGGGTAAATGAAAATAATTTCTACCCTTGTGTGATCGGTACACACCGGAGGGACCGCAGACGTTCGGATACAATTAGCGTCTCTTAGCAAAGACAATGACGTCGACTTTCAAGACAATTACTCTACACACACAAACACACACTACATTAATAAACTTATCTTGATTGAGACTGGCTGAATGACAATTGTCCAAGCCAAAAACACACAATATATATATATATATATATATATATATATATATTATATATATATATATATATATATATATATATATATATATATATATATATATATGAAACTTGACAGAAAACCAGTTGTGTGAACGTAGACGATAACAGCAATGGTCATCAAAATAACAAACGAGAAAGTGGTTCAAATTCTTTAAAAAATAAAGAAAGGAAAAGCAGCTCAATCAGGTGACGCTGCTGGGGAATTATGGAGAGCATTACAGGAGACTGCAACAAGTTGCCTAACAGGTTTTTTTAATAGAATTATGAAAGTTTGGCAAATGCCAGATAACTGGAGATGAAGAAACAAGGGATATATACAATAATTTACAAACTAGAGGGCCATAAAAGTACCCCGTCATGTATTAAAATATCTTCTTTTTTAGGTACCGTCTCCTTTTCTATCTCCTCTAAGGAGGTTGGTAATCATCACAGCTATTTTCACATTTTTTAAGTCTTTTCCGTCAATCCCTGTACTCTTCAGCAGTTGCATCATTTGTTCATGTCTGACCCTATCGAAAGCCTTCTTGTAGTCAATCAGGCATGCAAAAACATTATAGTTGACATCTCTACATATTTGAAATAATACCTGCATGCTAAATAAAGCTGCCCTCGTACCAACGGCGTTCACAAATCTAAACTGATTGGGCGCAATTTGTTCCTCGCATTTCCGGTAAATTTTTTTGTGGATGATTTTCAAAAACAGCTTCAGCAGATGGCTCATTAGGCTTATGGTTCTATAATATTTACAAACTTTTGCTCCTGGTTTTTTAGGCAATGGTGCGAACTCCGATTTGAGCCACTCTACTGGTATTTTTCCTGCCTTGTATATGTCATTAAATATTTCAATTATTATTTTTAATTGTTCTGCATCTATCAATAACTTCAACAGTTCTGCATGAATTTTATCAAGACCCGGTGCCTTTCCATCCTTCATTTGTCTGACGGCTGCCGTTATTTCTTCTGGTAGAATTTCGGGACCTGAATTTTCTTCAATTTATTTGTATTGTTTTGCATTTGTATTGTTTTAAGGTCATGGAAAAGTTTTTCTAAGTATTCTTCTCATACTTTCTTTTTATCTTCTTTGATTATTTAAATATATTTCCTTCATCTTTCGATGAACCTTGAAGTTATCATATTGATACTCCTCTATTTCTTGACATTGCTTTGTTTTTTGTTTCTCTTTGGCTTCTTTTATTTTTCTTCTGACCATGGTATGTATTCTCTTATATTATTGGAAATTTTTTTTGGTTTTTTTTGATACATAAGTTCAAGTATTTCATCGGTCATCCACGATTTCCTTTTCTCTGTATCTTTCTTTAGGTGTTGTTCTTTTATTTATCTCACCGTTTCTTGTATGATAGTCAGACTTTCCTCTACAGTTCTTGCCTTTTTGCATTTTAACACCTTTGTATTGAGATTTTCACTTACCTTCAGTCAAACATTGGGATGTTTCAGTTTTTTAACATCATACTTCTTCATCGACTTGTAACCTTCTTCATTCTGACTTTGAAATTACCTACAACTGGTACGTGATCAGAATTTATGTTTGCCCCCGGGTATATTTTGACAGAAGTACAGCTGTTCCTATACCTCTTATTTACTAGCATGTAATCAATCTGATTTCTTACAATCCTTCCTACAGAATTCTGTGGAGATTTCCAGGTGTACAGTTTCCTTGGGTGTAGCTTCAACCAGGTGTTCATTATCACTAGTTGATTTGCTTCCGCAAAAATCTCCAACGTATCTCCCCAATCGTTCCGGCTTTCTAGACCAAATGATCCAACTACATGATGTTTTGCTGATCCCAACTTTGGCGTTAAAGTCTTCTTCTTTCTTCTTCATGTACCATGTCCTTTCAGAACGTTGGTTACCATCATAGATATTTTAATTTTATCCACTGCCACCCTAAATAGCATGCTTGTATCTACACCACACCAGTCTCGCAAGTTCTTCAACCATGAGGTTCTTCTTCGTCCTGGACTGCGTTTGCCTGCTATTTTTCCTTGCATGATATTTTGTAGCAATCTATATTTGGGACCTCTCATTACATGTCCGAAATATTCCAACTTTCTCTGCTTGATGCTTTTTATGATCTCAGTAGTCTTGCTGAGACGTTCTAGTAATGTGGAGTTACGAATCTTCTCCACCCAGGAAACTTTTAAAATTCTTCTATAGCACCACATTTCGAAAGCCCTCAAGGCGATTTAGATCGATTTTATCCACAGTCCAGGACGCGACAGCATAAAGTAAGACCGAGAACACGTAGCAGCGAAGTAGGCGGATCCTTAATGCCAATTTTAGGTCTCTGTTACATAACACCTTGGACATCCTTCTAAAAGCAGCTCTAGCCTGCTCTATTCTGGATCTAATTTCGCCGTGGTTTTCTAAATTACAATTTAATTGCTGTCCAAGGTAGACGATTTTATCAACTTGCTCAAGTTTGGTATTATTTACATATACAGACCGTTTTATATTCTGTTGTTTACTTATTACGAGTATTTTGGTTTTCCTTATGTTAAGATCAGACCTGCCTCCCTACAACTCTCAACAATACTATCTAGTAGTGTTTGCAGATCTTCTTGACTAGAAGCTAGGAGTACTGTATCGTCCGCATATTGCAAATTATTGATGACTTCGCCGTTCACAAGTATACCTTCTTGTTTTTCAGAAAGTTCTTTTCTGAAAATTCTTTCGGAGTAAACGTTAAAAAGCAGGGGTGACAAGAGGCATCCCTGCCGTACTTCTCTTTTAATATTAAGTGCTTGTGATTCCACACCATCTACTAAAACTGATGTTGTTTGATTCCAATATAAATTTGCAATTATTCGAACATCTCTGCCGTCCAAGCCAATGTCTTTTAGAGCTTCGATCAATATAGAGTGCTTAACAAGATCAAATGCCTTTTGAAAGTCAATAAAACAACAGTGTATGTCTACAGATATATCACATCTTTGAGCAAGTACGTTCATTCCAAACAGTGCCCCTCTAGTTCCAAATCCGTTACGGAAACCAAACTGAGTGTCATCCAGGTATTCCTCACATTTATTGTAGATACGACCATGTATTACCTTCAGAAAAATTTTCAATAAGTGGTTTAACAAACTGATGGTTCTATAATCAGCACAGGTTTTTGCTGTTGTCTTCTTAGGTAGAGCTATAAACAGTGAGTTAGACCAACCATTAGGTAGTTGTCCGCTGGTATAAATGGTATTAAAAAACGAAGTTATAGCCTCTAAAACATTGCTATCCTTTATAAGCTTATATATTTCAGTTGGAATTTCATCAGGACCAGTCGCTCTGCCATCTTTTGATGATTGTATGGCCTTTATAACCTCACAGCGTGCTATTAGGGGTCCGTCGCAGTTAGTAATATCGGGAGGTGAACTACTCCTATCGTCTTCAAATAGGTTCGTGACGTAATTTTCCCATTCTTTAAGTTTGTCCTTTACTTCGAATATTACTTTACCATTTTCATCCTGTAGCAATGCATTTTGTTTCTTATTAAAGATACCAGCCGCTTCTTTTACATTTTTATACATGTTAAACGTATACTTTATAGACGTTAAAGTCACCCATGACAATTATTAGGTCTTGCTTTTTCAACCTTTTCACGACTTGATTAATGCTATTGTATAGTTTGTTGTTGGTTGTTGTAGTCTTTTGTTTTCTTTTTATTATTCAATTTTACTTTATCTTCTTATACATATAATTTAGATTGTTTTTTAATTCTATTTTTTTTATTGTTCTTTTTTCCAAGCCTTTATCGACGAGCACATGATCGATTTGGTTTTTTCCATCTGGTTATCTCCATGTTCCTTGGTATATGTTTTTGTACTGAAAGTACGTGCTCATACTCATAATGATCATTCATATTTCTTTGTTTTACAAAATATATTTAGAAGTGACCCTTTTCGACAACAACCATGCACAAATATTTCAAGAGTAACAATTCAATCTTCCAAATTTCATCAAAATCAAAAAATCACTCCACGTGTACAACGTTGTAGAGCTAATCAACCAAATTTATACAAATCAGCTCCATCTAAATCATGTAAGGTAATACCCTTGAGCGTATCAGCATGCCAAACAGGCTTTAATATCCCTCATCCCCAAAGAAGTCACATAAGGCGCCTAAATTTTACAAAATTAATATTAAATATGAACTATTATATGATATTTCAATTTAGTGAAATTATTTACAAGATTATTTTGTAGAAATCTCATCCTCTCCGAATGTAACTCAGAGATAAACTTAAAATATTATGGCTACAGAAAACGTAGGTTTAAATATACACCTCTCGAAAACAAAAATAATTACAAATTTGGTACCCAACCATTAGTATTGGTGGGCAAGAAGTAAAGTTTGTAGATAAATATAAATGCATAGAATAAAAAATTATGATTTGCTGGATCAGACCAATGAACTGAAGAGAAGAATCGGTCTTGGGTGGGCAGCATATGGAAAAGCAAGTCAGCTGCCCACATGCCTGAAGAAAAAAGTATTTGATTAATGCGCCCTAAAATAAAAACAGGATAATAAAAAAATTATATACTATTTACCTATAATATCCGTGGTGTAACATGCTATCATTTCAAATATATCCATGTCTTTATCATTATCAACAAATTGTTTTAAGTTAGTCCGTAGTTCTTCACTGGATTTTTTTAGAGTTTCAAAGAAATATTTCATTTTTGCTGATGTAAAAATGTTCGTAAATTTGGTCTAAAATTAATATATTTTATAAGTCAATAGGTCGTTTTCTAGTGTTTTAAAAGTGGAATTTTTCGCCTAAATAGGAAACAATGGTTTTTCTAGTCAATAATATGAATAGATGACTAATGATCAAAAATGGGATAATACGTTTGCATAATTAGTAGAGGGGTATAAAGCTAGTTCGCGTTCGTAGTAGAACACTACACGTGCACCCTGGGTAACGCTAAATGAACTAGCACAAAAGGCGCCAGACAATATTGAATCTTCTGGCAATTCAAATATCACAGAAAATCTTTCCAGAAATGACACTTGTAAACGGACCTTATCAGGACCATTTGACCAAAGAACTCGGACAAAGCATACGGGTTTGCCATTTTAACATAGAAGGCATAAGCAGGGCAAAGTGTCAAATCCTGCACAGACTTTTAAAAGACAACGAAGTTGAACTAGTAGCACTTCAGGAAACGCACACAGAAAACGAAAATCAACTAAGCTCAAGAGGAAAAATCCCCGGCTATGATCTTTTGGGCGCTACCTACGATAGAGCTTACGGAGTGGCAACATATGTCGGTTCAAACATAGAAAATGCAGCAATAATCGCCACTTCTACCGAGAACAACATCCACGAGGTAACTGTGAAAATAGGCAATGTCATAATAGCTAACATATACAAACCTCCTGCTATTACCTGGCCTGTCCAAGTTCTTAATTCCTATGAACATCCAGCCATATACGTAGGGGATTTCAACAGCCACCATGAGATGTGGAAATACTCAGACACTGACAGAAATGGCACATCCCTTGTGGAATGGGCGAAGGAACATCTTGCCACCTTCTATTCGACGCCAAAGATAGAGGCACTTTCAGATCTGCGGCTTGGAGCCTGGGTCCTGCTGGACCCGAAACTTCATGTCAACTATCTCTTCATCTGACAACATTTACTCCGACAGAGGTTCGACAATAAATAAAAATGCTGAATCCTAAAAAAGCTCCTGGCTATGATTTAATAACAGGAGAATTACTTAAGCAGCTACCGAGAAAAGTAGTGGTGCTATTAACAATAATATACAACAGCATACTACGTCTTCGATATTTTATAATACAATGGAAATTTGCCTAAGTTACTATGATTCCAAAACCAGGTAAGCCCGCAACACAAGCAAATTGATATCGCCCTATAAGATTACTCCCAATAATGTCAAAAGTATTAGAAAGGCTACTATTACATAAAATCGAGCAAGTTGTTCCCATAAACGAAATTATACCACAACACCAATTCAGATTTGGACGTGAACAATCAACCATCCAACAATGCCACAGAATAGTAAATATAATTAAAACAACTCTCGAAGAGAAAAAGTTTTGCGCTGGAGTATTTCTAGATAAACAACAGGAATTTGATAGAGTATGGCATTAGGTCTCCTCTACAAACTGAAACCACACCTAACAGACCAACTACACTTTATAATAAAATCATATCTTACTGACCGTTACTTCCAAGTCAAAATTGAAGACAGCTACTCAAATTACCACATCATACAATCTGGCGTACCTCAGGGTAGCGTTTTGGGTCAATTTCTGTATCTGATTTTTACAGCAGACATTCCAATCAGTAATGATACCTTCTTAGTTACATTTTCCGATGACACGAGAATCTTGGCAGTGGATATCGACCCTAATCTAGTATCACAAAAAGTACAAAATCATTGAGATCAATTACAAAACTGGCTTAAGCGATGAAAGATCAGTGTTAATGCTAGCAAATCAGTACAAATTACTTGACAACAAGAATTAAGAACAAGAAATTCCAAATGTCCACTTTATATTAATAATACTCTCATTCCTATAAAACCAGTTATCAAATACTTGTAATTGCACTTGGATAAAAAACTTACGTGGACAACGCACATTAAAACTAAATGTAAGCAACTAGATCTTAAACTAAGAAATATGAACTGGCTATTTAACAAAAGGTCTCAGTTATCTCTTGAAAATAAACTGCTTCTGTACAAAGCTATACCTATACCAGTTTGAGCATATGGAATAGAACTATTAAGCTGTAGTAAACCTTTAAATATAAAGATACTTCACACATTCCAATCCAAAATACTCCGTATGATCATAGTATGTAAAGCTCATGGTATGTATCTAACCAAACACTTCACAATGATCTGGACATCCCATTACTTAAGGACATAATAAAGAATCACTCAATAAAATATAAAAATCGCACCACTGATCACAACAACGAACTGATAAATAACTTATTCACCCAACTACTTGCCGAAAGAAGATTGAATAGGGTATGAGCAGAAGACCTACCGCAACAAACCTACTTAGAGAACTGTCACTGGACGGTACCTAACTCAGGTTAATTTACTTACAGACTATTTACTTATTACTCTGTGTATAGAGTAGATTGTAAACATGCAAAGTAACAAATATATATATATAATATATAATATATATATATATATATATATATATATATATATTATATATATATATATAATATATATATATTTATATATATTTATATATATATATATATATATATTTATATATATTTATATATATATATATATATTTATATATATATATATATATATATATATATATATATATATATATATATATATATATATATATATATAATTTCTAAACAATTGACAAGTACAAGTACAAAGTCTTTTGCTTACTCTTGATTCTTTCCATTCTGCTCCTTCTTGAGTTAAAATTTGCACGGTAAGAGGGCTGTTCTTATTATGATATATGCCCCTGTCTGTAAAGTATTGAAAATCTGTCGTCAAAATATCCTTAGCATATTCTGGATCCATCACTACCAACTGAGGACTAAGACCCATATAAATGCCTAAAAAAATCCAAAATGTTTAAAAATACACGAAAATTAGTTCTTAAGGGATATAGATAAAAAATCAAGAATAATAAAAGGTTTATTACTTTTTTTACATACTGGCAGTGGTGAAAGTCTAGAATATTCTCAAATCTAATACTGCCAAAAATGTACTGAACTTAAAAATACGTAAAGCTAAATTAAAATACCTTATGAAAAAAAGCAAAAGAAATTTACAAGTTCTCCAGACATTGGTAAGCCTGATCGTAAGCGTGAACTATTTTAAATATCTTTCCAGCAGGTTAAATGTAAATTTGACTATGATAAAGAGATAAAAACGTAGGAAGGTTCAAAATAATAGGTAAGGCTTTTATGACCTGGAAACCAGTTTTAAAATAATAATAATAAGAGAAACCTCTCGACACATATTCGCAAGAAGGAACTGAAATGTTATGTCTGGTTTATCCTATTACTTGGTTGTGAGAGATGAACATTAAAAACCGCAATGCTTAACAAATTAGGAGATATACCTATATATATAGGGTAAGGGGGGTAGTTTGTTACACTTTTTTTTGGGAGCCCATATTTTGGTACTGTCTGTATTAGTAAGTCCAGCAAACACGGGAATAGTGGGGTACTTTGGAACACATACTCTCTAGCTGCCCCAATGGTTACAAACATGAAACTAATAACGAAATTGATCTTTTTGATGCATTTATTTATGATTTTCATAAAACAACACACATACAAAGTTTATAAAACATATTTCATAAATGAAACGGGAAAGTTAATATAAGATACCAGCCTTCTGGTACTTCCTGGCACTTCATTGGGTTTTGTCAGTTTAGCTACAATATCGCGTTTTAGAATAGAGCTAATATCATCCTGTATCGGGTAAAAAATCCATAATTTTGCTTTCTTTTCACAAATTTGACCACTGGTTCAGCTGGGTTCGGTAATATCTTGAACACAGCCGACATAATGATATGTTGATCTTTTTATCGCAAATTTTACAAGAATAAAATCCCCTACAGAAATGTTGGAATCGTCAAGTAAACCATCCATTTCATAATCTTCCGTCATGTCTATATCTGAATCAGATGAATTTTTCAATTCCAATGAGGCATCTGAATCACTTGATGAAGAACTAAACTTCCTTTTTGGAGGTTTAGGTCTTACAATAGACCTCTTTTTTTTTACTATCACTAATATCTTGACCAAATGAAATTGAGTTGCCTCCTCGGTTTTTGTGTTCCACTTCTACACTTTTAAAATCATCGTTCGCCACATTACCCGGTATTTTTCGTTTCACTACTTTTAATTTCTTTTCTTCTCTTCTTTCTGTGTATTACTCGCCATTCAGAATCAGGATATACCAACCAAAAATTACGTGAAATATATCGTCAAAGACCCTCAGATCCAAAACGACAAATGCCGATATGGATGTCAAGCCCAAGAAAGTATACAACATCTTACTGGAGGCTGCCAGGCATTTGCTGCAACTAAATATAAGGAACGGCATGACTTAGTAGGGAAGATCCTTCATCAAGAGATAGCTTTTAAACTGGGACTTCTACAAACAAACCATCTCCCATATTATCAATACGTTCCTAAGAGTATGCTTGAGAATGACAACTACAAGCTATACTGAGATCGCACTGTGCTCACAGACTAAACTGTAGCACATAATAGACCAGATCTCGTGCTAGTTAACAAATTAACAAGACAAACAACTCTAATTGATGTGGCGATACCTAACAACAATTATTATTCTTTTTACCACTGGAGTCATTCCGAAGAACCTCCTAGAAAACATAAAAAAGCTGGATCTAAAGGAACATCTATATAAGGTCGTGCAGAAAGCTGTGCTACTTTCGACGTCCAGATGCGTGCGAAAATTTTTAGGAGATACACCGACGTACCAAGTCACCTAGGACTCAATAACATGGAAAGAGTCCCACCATAGCTCAGTACTTTTGATACCGTAGGTATCTGGGATGAGTGAATTAATTTAGAACCTCTTAAAACGAGGGTCAGCCGTATGGCTAAATCTGGATAATACTCAAAAGCAAACTTATTTTTAAGTAAATAGTAAAAGCAATAAACACATACGAATTACCACCTTCACATAGTCCTCATTTGGCGTTATAAAATCGTCGAATACCGAAACTGAAGAACTAAATAGACCAAATAGAACCGTGATAACTAAATACGCATCAACCACTCCAAATCATACATCCAATGTATGACTACCATGCACACAAAACGGGAGAAGAACGGGGTGTTTTGGAACTGTCACCCACTACTTAAAAATAAAAAAACAGCAAAAAAAAACAAAGGCAAAAATGTATAGAGCAGCAATTAGACCGATAATAGCATAAGGAGCGCAAGTAATGTGTCTTACGAAAAAAGATGAAGAAAAAGTAAGAATTATTAAAAGAAAAATTATAAGAATAAACAGAACAATAAAGCCAGAACATGGAGAATATAAAAGAAAATTTATTAACCCATAAAGACTAAGATCGTAATAGATAATAATAAATGAGGAAATTTTCAATCCGACCTGTGATCCGACTTCCAACTTCATCATTAACGCTCCCACTTCGTCCCAGTCAGAAGTCGGACCTTCAAGTCGTCCCTCTAGATGTTCAACTAAACCAACCAGTCCACTCACGGTGTCATTTCAGATCCAACTGCAGAAGTTGGACCACTAGTCAGACTAAAAATCGGACCGTGAATGGCCTGTTAAAGTTATTTAGTTAAGTTCAGATCTACATACCTCCTACTTTTAGTCCTTGTCTTGTGAACTCATCGTAGAAATCCTTTACTAACCTACCTAATGCGATTCCTCTGGGAAGCGCACTTCCATGGTTTCCATAAGGAAATGTGGGTTTTAGTTGTACTATACCTTTTCTTTTCCAATATGTATATTTATATTTTATGTAAATAATAGCAGTGAATATTACCGTTGCTATTACTACAAGAAAGTTAATTAAGGAGTTGTTTGTAATGATTGGCATGTTGACAGAGACCTAAAAATATTAAGTATATAAACGATTGTCTTACAATTTCTTTCGGTTATTAAAATGTACATATTTTCAGTTTAGTTTATCTATGCTGATGATGTTTATTTCACCCTACTGCACCAACTGATTGAAGATAAAGCGCTTGTTTCTCTTTTACAATTGTTTTAAAATATTATGAACGCAGAGATGTTAAAATGAAGAACAGATAGTAGAAAAATACCAGGCTTGTTTCAGAGGTGGTAAATAGACAATTCATCAGATTGCAACCTTAAAATTTTTTTAGAAAAAACACTGGAATATGGTATTGATACTCATAACATATTCATAGACTACAAAGCAGCCCACGACTCTGTGAATAGAAGAGAAATCTTCAAAGCAATAAAAGAGTTAGAAATACCAAATAAGTTGGTAAATTTACCAAAACTATCTCTTGAAAAAGTTGAATGCAGGGTACGAATTCATGGGAAACTGTCTGAACCTTTTAAAACAAATAACGGGCTGCGCCAGGCAGACCCTCTCTCCCGTATACTGTTCAATCTGTCTCTGGAAAAAGTAATACGTATGTTACTAATCACAACCACTGGTTCAATATATAATAAATCAGTGCAAATCCTGCCCTATCCTGATAATATCAATATTATTGGGAGAACAGAAAACTCTGTACGAGAGGCGTGTGTAGTATTAAAACAATCAGCTACAAAAATGGGTTTAATAATAACTACCAACAAAACGAAGTATATGAAAATAAGTTCCCAACAAATCCTACGACCACTTGCTATAGAAAACGACGTCATCGAGGCAGTGAATGACTTTGAATACCTGGGAGCGCTCCTTAACACTAAAAATAATACTACCGCAGAGATAAATCGCAGAATTTGTACGGCCAACAGATGCTATTTTGGGCTTAATCTCCACCTTAAATTCACAATTATATCAAGAAATACAAAAATAAAACTCTACAAAACAATAATACGCCCAATTTTAATAGAAAACCTTTACGTTTTTCGTTTAGAAACCTGAACGTTAACAAAAAAGAATGAAAACATATTAGAATGTTTCGAAAAAAAAGTACTAAGGCAAATCTATGGAGCAGTAAATAACAATGGAGTGTGGAGAACACGATACAACTTCGAACTTTATAGAATATACTGGAAACCTGATATCGTAAAACATATTAAGGTAGGCCGTCTAAGGTGGATAGAACATTTAATGCGGATGGAACAAAATGACCCAGCTAGAAAAACGCTCCTTGATAGACTCATTGGCCAGAGAAGAAGGGGAAGACCCACAACAAGGTTGCTTGATAACATCGATGAAGACATGAGTAAACGTAATTGGCAGAGAAAGGCGATGGATAGGGATGACTGGAGAGAAATACTTGAGAAGTCTAGGAGCCACGCACGGATGTAAAGCCTGAATAATGATGATGATGATGGTGATGAGATGTTAAATCAGATAACACTCCGGCAATTATTTCCGACAAAGAAATTTGTATTTGGACTTTCACCTGAGTCATATCAATCAACTTTATGTAAGCTTTAATTGTTTTTATGTGTTTTATAAAAAGGCTAAACTCCACGGTTCAACAGAACTGAATCACTTTGATTGAATGGTTCAGAAATGAAAGCAATGCTATTTACATGGTATCTGGAAAGTGGACTGTTTAACACATATTTAACATAAACAAGTATCGAAAAAGAAGCTAAGGAAAACGACGTCGTTGGTGGGTACGATCATACGGATTAAGAATAAAAGCCTACGAGCTTCAAACCGTCTATTGCGAGAATTGGTAGAAGAGAATCCAGATGCATACCTTGCTCATCTTCGCATGAATGAAGTAAAATTTAATGAACTTCTTGCAATGGTTCCTATGATTTAAGAGCGACTGACATTTAGATTTACATGGATCAATCTGGTTGCTTCATCCAAACTGAAAAGCAAATGTGAACCGTGTAATTTCGCTTAATATTGTTCTTCTTATGAATCCATTTTAGTACTTATTTGTTTCTTTTTAACAATATTATAGTATTGATTGTTACCATAAAATGGTGAAATAATATGACAATTTATTTTTTTTTACTTAATTAGATGGCTTTGGTAAAGACCAATTAGCCAGACGATTTTTTTTTAACTATAATAATTTAAAAAAGAAAACTCATCCTTCTTCACAACAACAATGCTTAGAGTATTAGTAGTGCTTAAAGTTAAGTGTGAGCAGTGTAATTTGTGTGTGTGTGTGTGTGTGTGTGTGTGTGTGTGTGTGTGTGTGTGTGTGTGTGTGTGTATTTTTTTTTTAAATTTTTTCGTCGCCCACTTACAAAATCTAACTAGTTGCAGGATTGCTAACAAAGAGGTGGTTAGTAATTTACAATTTCATTTTGCACCGTTTGGTGTGATTATATAAGCAGTACAATATATTAATATTCTTATTGAAAATTATACAATTTAAATTTATGGGTAAGTAAATTTTGTTATTAATAACTTCATTATAAAATTTATCTGTGCTTTGACTATTTAATGAACAACCAAGTAGAATATGTGTTAAGTCTCCAAGTTCCCCACATAAACATGAGGAATCATCAATTAAGCCAATTTTACATTTATAGCTTGGTGACATTGCATGATTAGCTCTTATTCTGTTTAAAGTAATAATAAAGTTCCTGTTGTTTTCGTTGTAGAACCATCTTATTATTGGGATTTGGACTTGACATGATTTATAATTTAATCTTATTTGTTTGCTGTCATATAGTTCTTGCCATTTAGCCTTAAGTTGAACTTTAAGTGTGGAATTCAAATCTGTATATGGAATACACTGGTTAATAGAATCTCTGTGTAAGTCTGAGGCGGATTTTGCAAACTAATCAGCAATTTCGTTTCCTTGAATACCCGAATGCCCTTTGATCCAAACTATTAGCACCTCCCGTTGCGAGCTAAGTATTTCGTGATTGGTCTGTAGTATTTCTACTTCTAGATGACTTAAGTTCTTGGCCGCACTTATATTTTTTAGTCTCTCTATGACACTTTTGCAATCTGTAAATATAATACTTTTGAGTCTATACGTCCTAAGTATATATTTTAGAGCTTCACTTATTGCAAACATTTCTTCTGTATATATCGTTGCCTCATCATATGACAATTTACGAATATACAACTATATTACCTAATTCCTTAATTAACTAATAACTAGCTTACACATTAAATAATTAATATACAGTGAACGGCTAAATTATGGAATATTATCATTATTTTTAGAACCGTCGAGTTTTGAGGCAAATCTCGAAACAGGTCGATTTATGTCATAAAATACCCATCTTATAACATACATGGAGTAAAGATGATGTCACCGGTGTAGGTGTAGTGAAGTAATCGTTAATTTTTTTTAATAGAAATCGGTATAATGCGACACGTCATTTAAACGAGAATAAACTGCACTTCTGTTGACCTATTTAGAGCAGCGGTATCGAAAGTGCGAATTGCCATGATGGTTGCCAACCTTCTTAGAGGAGATGGCACATGAAGAAGAAGAAGGTTGTACAAATTGCTTATCGCATAGGCAGGAGTTGCAATTGTTACCCAGCAGAGATGTACATACAGCATTGAGGACAAAACTCAGTAAACTATGCAAACCACAATGACTTAGAAGTCCTATTTGCAACGGCACTCGTGGGCATAAACGATTCCAAAGGAAGATCTTTTTTAATGAGAGAAATAATAGACCAATGTTCGCAATACTCATTTATTACGGAAAAAGCGGCGACAATCTTGAAACGCAAAGAAAACCAATTCATGGTAGATTCTCAGTAATTGGTTCGACAGGAGAAAAAATATCGAACTGGAGCATAATGCTAATCATTGAAATTTATTTTCAGAGTTACTTTAAAATAGAAACAGAGGCTTTGGTACTACCAAAAAATAACCAAAGATTATCAGAACAGGAAATACTATTAGAAGAATACAATCAAAAATACCATATAGAGATAATATTATAGGAAAATGGGGAGATACGAAGCAACAGGCATTTGCAAGGTTGATGCAATTAGAGAGAACCTTCATAAAAGATAGAAGACTAGAATTGGATTGCAGACAGTTTATAAAAGAATATAAAAAAAAAACAAGGACACATTGTGATAATCGAAAATCATAAACGAGGTTATGTAGACGAAAAATTATACACTGACTTTTAAGGAAAAAATAATAGAAGAATTATAACAGCAACTTACAAAATGTATTCATGAGGCTACAAGTGAAGATTTGAGTTATAAAGACAAACATGAATCAAAAAATCAAGAATGGTGGTAGGAGAATATACAAACACTAGTCAACAAGAAGAAAACTGCTTATCAGAAATGGATGTCAACGAGAGAGGAGGAAGATTATAAGATATATCAAAAATTAAATCGAGATGTAAAAAGAAAAGTAGTGAAAAGTAAAATTGAGATGTGGGATCGAAGATGTGCAGAGGTGGATAGGTATATGGGTGGAACAAGAGTTGGGCAAGCTTGGAAGTTGATAAAGTCTCTCCGAAGGGAAGGACATAAAAAATCTAACTTGCAGTTAATAGATCTGAAACAGTGGAAACACCATTATGAGGTCTTACTGATAGAGGATATATGTAAATTCCAAGAGATCGAAATGGGAGAAATATCCGAACACACACAAATAATTGAGATAATAACCGAAGAGTTAAACGATGCCCTCAAAATATTGAAAAACGGTAATTGTGTTGGTAAGGTATGGACCAAAAATATTACATGAGATGTTGGTTCAACTATTTAACAAATGCTTAAAAGGACAAAATATCCCTGATGATTGGAATATTGGATACATCAGCTCAATATTCAAGAAAGGGGATATGCTCTAGTTATAGGGAAATAACTGTTATCAGCTCAGTGGGGAGGTTGTACGGTCGAATAATAAAAGAAAGAATATAATTAAAATACGAAGACATAGAAGAACAAAATGGATTTGGTGCAGGAAGATCATGCACTGATGAT